ATAAGCCGGCAAATAAAGTTATGGTAAGAATTGTTGCAGAAAGAGAGATTGAAGATCTAGACACGGATAATCGGAGCAAGCGGGCGGTAGGCATTGTAAGTAAAGTGCGTGAATCGTTGTGAATTATAGCGTGTGTTTAAGTTAAAGTGACTGTAGAAATTAAGTGAATTGCAAATTTGAATTGACAAAAAATAAAGTAGTTTTATTCAAGAAAGGACTTGTATCGCAGAAGTTTCTCGGAAAGAATTTCTACGGAAAATTAATAAACGAACACAGACGTAACAATATTTTATTAAAACACCGTAAATTTGTTTTTGATGAACAAATTTATAATCGTTTGTCATTTTTTGATAACAGAAAATGTCACCCAATTCGAGCCACCATCCCTTCTTACATTCCAAAACATTTTCCCCAGGTTGAAAGTCTAGTTTGTTGCTGAATGGAAATCATTAGGGCTATCCATATAATACGCTAACTTTAAATATAGATACTTATGATTTTTGGAAAGTTCAAATGTTTCGCACCAACACTGTGCCTCATGCTTTTATTAACCTAATTTGAAAAATTACTTGAATTTAATCTTTGAAACATAGATTCATACTTGAATTCATATGAGCTTTACGTTTTCCAAGAGCAATTGTTTAAAGATTATGCAATTCACTATAGCTTATTAAAAGAGATCACAGCTCAGTTTTTAAATTAAGTCTGAATCATGTTGTTGATTCCTTCAAAACAAGCAAAGTTTCAAACAAGACGGGACAACTGTAAGATATTATTTTAAACTTTAAAAATATTCACAGTAAAGTTGTTTAAATATTATAGAGGGGGTGTGTAAAAATAAGGGGAAAATCTTTTAATGTTGGTAAATAAAATACATTTTCACATCTTGTTCTTTTTTTAATAATGCCTGTGTTAGAACTGCCTATAAAAATGTTGCTTATCACATGCATGCAAAGTTATTTTAAATAAATATTCTTATAAAAAAATATGATGATTGCAAAAATAATTTTTGTCATGTTTAGAGTGAGTTTAAGACTTTTTATATTAATTTTTGTTGATATCTAGGTGTTTTCTTGTAAAATCATTGATGACCAGATTCCCTCGAGAGTGGTGAAAAGGCATCATGCGAGAGTGTGGTTTGAACGAGAGTATTAATATTATCATTGGCAGTGATGGCGTTTGTGTTTTAATATTAGGCTTAACTAATTTACGTATGTTAGCTTGTCATTAGTTTCTTCTAAATTTTTTATCCACATAATGCCTCCTACAATACAAACAGGATCTCAAGCAAGCACGTCAGATCGAGATAGAAAACTAAGACCCGGAGAAAAGAGGTGAGGTAGATAAGTTCAAAGTAAAGTTACATAATGTACAACATATTCTAACATACTCGGCTTTGCTTTCACTCTTAAGTTCTTAGAATTACACAAGTTACCGGGCTAAGTACTCTTTAACAAAACAGATCAACGTGACACCGTTGCTTTTAATCATGAATGACATAAGCTAATGTGAAACATAATAAAAAATAATAGGTTGGTTAGTGTCATCGATATAACGTCGTAAGTCTAAAGTTCAGTAATACTAATAGTAATACTGATTTAAATTTAATTTTATGGTTATGGTGTGTTAGACATACTCTGTAATAATATTATAATATTATGAATATATTGTTGATCTAGTGGTAGGAAGTTGTAAATGAAACAAATATACAAAAATAATATTCAAATAGCAAAATTATATATTTTTTACAATCATTCAAAATGGCTATCGCTAAGAGCTGCCATTATCGTGTATACTATTACTAGGAAGAGAGAGATGAAAATATTAAAACCGCAATTGTACATATCTAACAAGAGAAGATACATTATTTTCAGGTATAACTGTTTTCTCTTACAGTAACAAGATAGGTCCACAGAAAAACAGGAGATTTGAGAAGGTATTACAAAGTAATTTTGAGTTCTCTCAGTTTGTGAGAAATTAAGAGACTGGACACAAATGTACAAACACAAATGAAGAATCTTCATTCAAGACACATACACTGTTTTTATTTGTGTGGTCCATCAGACAGTTGAATTTTGCTGAAGAGATAGATCCAAATTCTTTTCTTTCTCAAGACTTTTTCCAGAGTGACTAAACCTCATGTTTCTTAGTTAAATCAGTAACATTAATTTTACCCATAACTATTAGTACTAGTAGAAAACTACTGAGGTTGTAACCTCAAGATACCACCTGATCTACTGTTGGAGGAAACAGCTATCTACTTTCATACACAAGGTGCAGGTTGACATCTTTTTTTTTCACATAGTCAGACCAGGTGTTGTCACTGAGGTATGACATGCAAGGTAGATAGAACAATAGTAACAAAGATTTTTTTAAATGTGTTGTAAAATGTTGCATTCAACCCAATAATTGACAAGTTTTGAAAAATCCTATATTAAAATACGAAGGTAGAAAATGTATGTTAGGCCTACATACCGCAAAGATATGGAATATATTGTGAAAGAATGACTTTACAATAGACAAATTAAATTACCAAAACAAATAATTGGGAGTTTTGTGAAATGTGTATTAACATGCGATAACTTCTTTACAAAGTATATCACAAGTGTGTTTTCAGTAGATGAGATTGGCCATTGGGTGAAGTATGTGAAAATGATGATAGTAATGTGTTATCAGTTCTTGTCATAAAAATCTTATTTTTAAATGACTTAAATAAAATTGATAAATTACAATTCACTTGCATAACTGGTTCACGCTATAACAGCCATTGTTCATGATATGTACAGAGCCTAGACTACTACTATATTTGTTGTATCCTAGCCAGTCTCAGAATACAACACAGAAAATATGATGCATCAGTTTGAATAATTAACAAAACGTATAAATAATAAGGGTCAACCATTGTCAATTCAGAGGAAACACACCTTTTTCATGCATATAGTCATCATACTTCTCCAGGTATATGGATAAAAAATCTAGCTACATGTAGACCTAGTGTACTTGTCACTCAGCTAGATCACATGAGTGATTCTCATGAAACATTGGACAACATTTCATCCAAGAATCCACTTTGTTCCCAATGTACTTTCAGTCATTGATTTTTCTATCATATGGCCATCCTTGCTTGGGTAGTAAATATAGTAGCTATTATCCAATATCTGGAAGGTATTTCCTTTAGTTAAACTATGCTTGATAACTGAGAAAGCAAGACCTTTTGGTCTCATTAATCTTACAATAAAGAAATCATCCTATTTATGTAAACATCAAGTGGAAATTGAGCAATGTAGTGCATACATTGTATTGTAAACATCACTTGATAGCTTGGAAAGCAAGGATTACCACTTTCTATCAGTCAGTGATCTACAATCAATGATTGTCCTAATTCTATGATGATCATCTAGTTCAACCTGGAGGCCAATAGCAATGGCTCAACCATCTATCAAAGCAGTACTTTGCCTGTAACTGTAGTATTTTGTAATCTGGTTCAGCGTGGACAGTTGGATGTGTACATTTTCTACTCATCTGATGAGTCGACATATTTTTTTCTCTAACTTGTCAGTCTCAACCTCAGACCCCTGGTCAAGCCAGTTCATAAGAAGTTCGTCTGTGATGTTGCAGACTCAGCTTGTCAGTATGTGCTCCATGTGCTTTTGCATGCCCTGTAGCTCATATTTTATTAGACCAATATGTTGAAGAATGAGGAACACACTTGTCCAGCTACATCACAGCTGCTTCTATGCTGCTGGCACATAACATAGCCAAACCCAATCTCCACACTGGTACATTTGTTCCTTTACTGTCTTGTTGTAACACTTCTGATAACACTTTTCCTAGTTGATGGGGAAACTCCTACATGAACATGTTTGGTGAAATGACCATAAACCTCTGTTCAGTTGTTCTGTATACCATCATAATGCTAGAAAATTGCTCACATTTGGTTGGGATTAACAGATTAGACAAACATTTGCTTGGAAGTTGGTATTTCCTGTTCTGCTAAACTATCAGATTAGGGTTTATTAGGGTAAATGCACATCTTCACCACATTTATCACTTTGCACAACTCTGAGAACAATTAGCTGTTTAGACTAGCTTCCTGATCTGTGTGTAAATATATTTTAGTGTTTCGAATTGTGCTATCCATTGCTCAGTCAACACAACAGCTACAAGTTGTGGCAATATAGTGACCAATGGATAAACCTAAGCCCACTTTGAAGTATGAAAACTATGCTAGATCTATGTTCTTCAGTTGCTCTTCTTGGAGCTCCTGAATTTTTAATTATGGCACCCATCCACTAGTAGGATCTCCTACTGTATGGCTTGACATTGCTGTGGTGTAAATAGATTCACCTCCCACACAATGTCCAAGAGTAGGACCTTCAATGAATGGACAGGGTCTTACTGTGACATTAGAAAATCCATCTGCATTTCCATGTTGTGGACCCAGGATATACATTATGATAAAGTCATGTTCTTGCAACATTGTTATCCAGTGTGCTATCATAACTTCTATCCTGCAACTAAGATAAAACTACTCTTATATCATTATTGCTGGTGGCAGTGTCTAATAGGAATTCATTATTTCAGTATGGATATGCTAGCCCTGAAGCTCAATAAAGCAAGCTTTACAGGAGCACAATGCTTGTTCATATTCCTCACTCCATCCATATCAGTTTTAATGAGAGTAATGGTGTTGATATCTTGGAGAGCTTGGCCATAAACCAAGAAAACTGCAGACATCTCTTTGTACAATATCACCTTGAATTGCCACTTCTGTGCACTTGTATGTATTTTCTTGGTTTCAGTTTCAAGCCTTCTTCATCTGGTCGTATACCATTCTCAAGTTTTCAGTTGCAGACTCAAAAGTGCAGCTAAACACCAAACCATCATCAACATAGACCAGGCACTTCTTCCATTACAGCCCTTTCAGCGTAAACTCCATTAATGTTTCAGAAGAGGTGGGCATATGATACTGGCTGAATGGCATGACATGAACCTCATACAAACCATCTCATGCTAAAATCTTAGGTCTGCTCTCTTCATCCAGCTTGACTTATCAGTATTCAGAACTAAGGTGTTGAACAAATGAGAACTTCCAACATGACCAGACATTCTTCTGTTTGCACCAAGGGAAAAGTGTCGGTATGAGTTATCGTGTTCATCCACCTAAAAATACAGAAACTTGGTGTACTTTCTTTTCATCCTAGCAATCACTACTGGAGGTGACCAAACACTCTCTGAAGGTTATATGATCCCATTCTTTAATATTAATTGTATCTCAGCTCTGGCTATATCTCTTGTGTTCTAGAGAAGCATGTCTGGCAGTAGATTGTTCGGACATATGCCTATATATATATATATATATGTTATGGCAGATCACTATTGTTCTACCCAATCAACCATATGTTCCCATAAATATAAGTCATTCGGTTACTTTCACTAAACTGTTTGCACAGTCCATAACCAATAAACAACATTGGTAACCTCACACTTGCTTTTGGTCATAGTTGGAGGAGTGAAACCTTAGCATTTCAGCCAGCCTTGGTTGCTTCCTTTTCACATACTTTATTGGTGGCCATTCCAGCATTAAATTAGATATCTGTTTGCCCACAATAACTGAACAACAGAATTCATCCCTCTTCAAACAAATAACTGGTTGAGCTAATGCTGTCTGCTTTCTGGACATGAAAAGTTAATTTCATGTATGGTTTCTTTAACCATGTTACATGACATCAATGCACTTAACTTTGTGTTAGTAAACCATTAAACACTGCTTAAGTATACTGAGGTACTGTTATTCCCTCTGCTCCATACAGTCATGTAGTTCGTTGTTCTTGGACTCAAACTTGCTGACATTGGATAATGATCCCATGGAACATCAGTTCATCATTATAGTATTTTGGAACTTGTGTATAAAGTTAAAATCATAAATAATATTCAACGTTAAACTGGTACACAATTAAAAACATTTTATATAGGCCTATCTATGGCCTTCAAAAAGTTGACAACTCTACACGTTTCGACTTTACAACATGATGGAGGTACTTGAGTAAGACAGTATATCTCAGGTGTAACAGCTACTACAAGCATCCTCCTCTCTTGAATGGCTGAATTTACCATTTTGTTTTTGGTTGCTATGGAAACAGCATTTGTAAGGATGAGGATATCCTTCACACATAGGTGGTGCCTTGTCATTTTGACTATAAGTCTCTCGATAAACATATCCATGAGGGTGTCATCACAATCTGCTGGAGCCATCACAGGGTATGGCTTACCATGTTGATGATACAGATTGTATAAGTGGCCAGACCCTTGAAGTGCTCCTTTTCTGAGTCTTGAACTCAGTCTGATGGATTACCTGATTCTCCACTGTGGCAAATCAGTGGTGTAACATGGCAGTTACTATATCAGCATTCTAGTTGCATCTTTCTTAGGTATGTGATGGAATTCAGAGCTGGACCACCAAGCTCATGATCAGACATTGGACTTGCTGCTCCTGAGATCAGCCATTCCAGGCATTAACTATCTGAAATTCTTCAGAAAATTGTTTCTATCTTCTTTCCTCACACATTTCAACATCAAGGCCAGAACCTGCTTTGCTTCATACACAGGTACCTGTGGTAGTAGCCATCGTGTGGCTGATATGCTGCCAAAATTATGAGTATGGGGCAGTAGGAGTACCCTGAGGATCTGGTTCTTAGATGAGAAGTTGGCCCCTTATTCAGGGCAGCATTAGGATGAGACCTTCCTGGGCCTGAGAAGTGCTTTTTTGACTCTGGTCTTTGCTGATTGGGGCTGTCTCACCTGCCAGAGAAATAGCTCTCATTAGCAGACTTCATCCACCATACAGTATTGACTAGAGCTGAAGCTGTGTTATTCTGGCTGGTGATAGGCTGGGAGTCCTGCATAGACTGCTCCCAAGACTAGCCAAGAGGGACTGTGTCATTGCTAGAGGAAGTCAGCCAACAGGAGCTGTTTCACCAATAGGTAAGATGGCAAGCAACATTTTCTTTTTAATTATTTTAGATCCTTTTTGTGGGGCTTGAGTTTATTGTTTATTTTCTTGATTTACGATAGAAAAAATAATTTAAAAATTTTGGAGAAGTTTTTCGAATGCTCACAGACATGTCTGAGACGTAGTCATCTGTGCCCCTCCTCTACCACCTCAAGTCTAATGTTATTCAGGCGTTGATGGGGAGGCACCTTCTGCGGAGGACATACAGTTCATTATATGTTGAGAGGTAGAGTCTTACAGGTGGTCTGGTGCTTTTTCTCCTGTTAGCTCTGAGGCTGAGTTGATGGGAGATACAGGGCAGACTAGTGAGAGTTTAAACTCTATTTTTCCAGCAGCTTCCTTTGCTGAGTCAGCTACTTCTGAACCTTGGATGGACATTCCATCTCCTGCACCCTGTTTAGAACTAGTATGCCATGTTTGTAATGTTTTGAGTATTTTTCCTGAGGTTTATAAATCTTCACCTTCTTTATTGTGAGAAACTGGTCTGATTACCTGGTCCTTCCACCTTCATCAGATATTGCTATGCATGTAAGGAGATTTGGAGATCAATTGCTGCCATGCCTTGTCCTCCTTGTTTACTGGATCTGCATGCCTTGGCTTTCCATCACATGAAGAACCCTTATTTGAACTCTTGGAAGTTAGATCCTCTATTTCCTATTTGGGGCTCTAGACAAAATACCACTGTTCATCTTAATCAATCTCAGTTTCCAGAATTCGTCTTTCACTTACAAAAGTTTTGCATTTTTTATCATATTTGCAACTGTTGTCTGAGGCCTATCATAGATTCCCTACTCAAATTTTGGAGAATCTTATTCATTACTTGACTTCCACTTTGGTCAGGTTATTGGCTTCTGCTCTCTCCTTGGTATCTTGATTGGTTTGTTGCTGGGATCTTTTGGAGAGAGATGCCTTATTGAAGGGAGTTCACTTTCCTACATTGGGCATTATAGATCTCAGAGAAGCTCTTTTTCTCAGACAGTATTTTTGTGAGAATTCCAGACTCCATGGAGTCTAGAGTAGTTGTGGCCTATCTATTTTTTTCACTTTCTACACTGGCTTCTTGACTGTCCCAAAGTTCTTAGACAGGATGGTTTACTGCATTTCCCATTTGAGTTTCCAGACCTCCTGTTTCAGCCCAATGATTCATTGAAATACAAAGGTTATTTTGGCCTTACCAGCAGGGATCACACTCCAGGGTTCTGTGGGGTCTTGTGTCAGTATGGAGACATTCACTACAGGTCATTGGTCATTCAGTTCACGTCTCCTCCTCCTCCTTTGTCTCTTATACCAGTTGGCTTTCCACTTCCCAAGGACCCCCTTACTTCCAACCATCAAGCACATGCCATCCAGGATCTTCTGCACAAAGAGACCATAGAGTGCATCACCTCTTCTTTTAAGGGTTTTTATTCTAAGCTGTATGTAGTACTAAAAAGATGGGTGATTGGTCATTGACCTTTCTCATCTCCATTGCTTTCTCTAGCTTCCTCGGTTTACAAAGAGTCATTTCTTTTCCTTTGGTGGCTCTTTTCTCTTGAACTATGGTTGACAAAATTTGATGTCGCAGATGCCTACCTTCATATCCCGATTGCCAAGTCTTCAAGGTGTTATCTCAGTATTATGCAGGACAACCAGGTATTTCAGTATAGTTCTCTACCATTTGGCCTCACATCTGCTTCATACATTTTTTGCTGGATAGTTTGAGTTTTTTCACATCATCTCCTCTTCCCCCAGTGTTCACACTTACCATTACATAGATAACTGGTTTCTTTTTGCCATTTGGCAGCACTGCACAATAAAACTGTTATCAGAAGCTGTGAGAGCTGGGTTTCTTATCAAAAAGGAGAAGTCTATTCTTACTTCCACACAGTACCTCATCCATTTATGGGTGTTTTACCATTCTAGACCTTTCATCTATGCCTTCAGGCAATGGAATGGGCAATTCTATCTCTTTTGGGGATGTGGGCATCCTTGGAATAACTCATTTCTTTAGGTCAGGCCCACATGAGGGCACTTCAATGGTCATTACAGGACCAATGGATCATTTGCACAGATGCACTGAATTGCCCAGTGAGACTGTTAGATTCTAGTTGCTAGATCTGAGCTGGTGGTTGAACAGAGACAACACAACAGTAGGTGCCTCTCTACCACCTCCTCAGTCAGAGATACATCAGGTGCTTGTATAAAAAATATGGAATTCCAGGGACTTTGGACAGTAGAGGAAGCTTCTCTCCACATCGATCTCTGAGCTATGGCTCAGGGTTATGAATTGTTATGAGGGAAGGTGGTACTGCTTCATTCAGACAATTCCACAATAGTCTTGTACATTTCCAGGCAAGGGGGCATTCACTCCAGATCTTTGTTTCCAAACAGTGGATCATCTCCTATGGCCACACAAACACCAAATTGATCTCCTTGCTTGTCATGTTCCAGTTTCATGTTGGATCTACTCTTGTCTAGGGACACTATAGATTGATGCTTTTGCTACACACTAGACTGCTCAGCTCCCATCGTTCTGATCTCCAGTACCTCACCCTCTGGCTTTGGAAGTAGATGCTCTCACCAAGGATTGGACAGGTTTTCATCTTTCTGCGATCCTTCTGATTTGCCTACATTCCAAGGTTTTGACACTGATTTGGTCCAGTTTTTGTCAAGTTCTTCTGGTAGCACCATATTGGCCAGGCCAGCCCTCGTTTCCACTCCACCAGTATCTTCAGGAGTGTCAGCCTCTCTACCTCTCTTATGTCAGTTTCAGTCGGGCATTTTTCATCCAGCATTTGGCATTTTTCAACTTCATACCTGGCTTTTATGCAGCCATCTCACAACATTAAGGATTGACGTCTTGAGTGGTGTCCTTATTAACACGTTCTGTTTGACATCCTCCTTTGGAAATTTATCAAAGGAAATGCTTTACTTATCATCAATGGTCTCTCAGATATGGATTTAAGCCTGCGTGTCCCACTGCATCACAGCTCTCAATTTTTGACATGGTTGTTTGACAAAGGTTTGGCATCTTCATTTGCTGCCTTGTATAAGGCTGTCTTATCAGCTACTTTTAATATTTCTAAGAGAAGAAATATTTTGTGTCCCTGGTTTTGTCATTACTTTTGAAATCATTTTGGGTTATTTCTCCTTGTTGCCCTTTCCAGGTTCCTAACTGGGATATCACAGTGGTTTTACACGCATTAATATATCCACCTTTTGAACCTTTCGTGTCATGTTCATTATATCATCTTTCACGTACAACATATTTTCTTCTGTTATTGGCTAGAGGGCATCAACATTCAGATGTGTTTGTGTTTCATGTTCGTAGGACATTGTACCATTCCAATTATGTTCTGTTGTATCCAGACAGGTCCCTTCTACCTAAAAATGCAATAGCTGGGAAGGAAGTAAGGCTTTCTTTCCAATTCATCTTCTCTGTATCAAGAGCAATATTATAAAATCAATGGAAATTTTATGCTGTAAAATATAATTCTTTGTTAATTAGAGATGGAGGGTTAGCTGACGATAATGCACAATTTTGGAAAGAAATATTGACTTCATATGTACAATACTCATACCACCCTCATAGGTTATAATGAGTTAAACCATTGCTTTATAAATTTACTCGCTTGTCATGTAGGTTTTTACTCCTGATGATGGAAGCATAAAGCTATTGAAACATGTGGTCATTTTAATTTTGGTCATTGTCCAAATAAAAATTTTATTATGCATTTTAAATGTTCATCTTGTTTTTAATTTTAACATTTGTTACTTTGTTAAACTTTTGATAAAATTTTCTTTTTTACTTATTCAACCAGTCTAAGCTGTATAAGCTTACCTACCTTGCTTCAAAATATCTGATGCCTTCTCATTGAAGAAAATTTCTGTAACTTTCAGACAGATATAGTTTAACACACAAATACTTTCACAATTCACAAAATAGAAACTGAAAGGAAAGTTTCCAGAAACTATAAAAAACAAATTAAATTTATAAATTACCATGTTAATACATGACAATCTAATTCTTGCTCTGTCCAATCATATTTAAAAACTTTCATTATACCTATTTTCACAGCTATATTTTAGTAATAAGTGATTTAGCCACTTGATATAGCACCATAGCAAAGTTTCAACCAAGGCCTGTAAAGAAATTAAGGAAAATGCTTGAAAATCAAGAATATATTCTTAAAAGGTAATAGGTTCTTAGTAAAAATAGTTATTCTTTGGGAATGGAAAAAATATTCTAAAAAAAAAAATTTTTGATAGTTGTTCTACAGACAAATTATTTGCACCTATGCAGAAATCTAAATATGAATATTTTTCTTCATGAACTACACTAAATAAGTGTCAGAATATGACAAAATATCAATTATAAAATATTTTTGAGTTAAATTGTGTAAATACTTAGAATTAAGACATAAAATTTGTAGCAAAAATATATGAAAAGCTAGAGAAAATCCTCTCTTCGAGTACAATAATTTAGGAGTAAGATATTTTGTTCATCCTAAACTGTTGTACATGAAAATGTATCATACATGCAAAGTAGTACAAAATTAACAAAAACCTGTAACAACCTGAAAATACCATTAATTGCATTCTGTGGGTTTCTATGTACAGAGTTCTACAAAACTACTGAATTGTTATTGATGAAAATAAATGTATTACTTTGTGATATTTTAAGACAAGTTTTTATAAACTTTTCACTCTTAAAAACATCAACAATAAAATTTTACAAATGACAAGCCTCAGATATAGGCCTACATCATGTGCAAGTTAGTTGATTACTTTTTTCATTGTTAGAAATAAAACTATTTTTCAAGACATGCAAAAATCAATTCATGATATTTTACAAACAATACTGATGTTCATAAAGAAAAATAAAATAGAGAAATATTAAAGTTCACTAGATGGAGTACTTATGTTGAACATTTTTCAAATGTACAATTCAAGAATGTTTCAAATCATGTTAAATGTTAAGATCTATAATTTGAGAAACTGTTATTCAAAATGGGGGCAGTCCAGAATATTTTAGGGGGGGTACAACTAGATCTGTACTAGCACTTCTGATAAATGTATATGTATATTAATTTCATTGTTTTTTTACTTATAGCTACACACTACTAGTAACTTCAGTAATAAAATCAATTAGAAAACCTACAAGCCCAGTTGGGTTATAATCCAATGATTTCAAAACTTATATCTTTATTTCTAATAATGCAATTGATATGAAAATAAGAACAGTTAAACACAAACTTTTAAAATTTCGTAATTAAAATTAAGTAGGCATAATTATAATTTAGAATAAAATTGTAAAGTCTATACCTAAAATCATATTTTAATGTTTGTAAACATGGTGTCTGCTTCTTTTTGTTTTTTTTAAGTCATCACTTACACAGTCATAGCACTCACACATTTGGTTATTTTGGATATCGACAATACATAAACATCTTCTTTACGAGTATTATATTTTTCAAACAATGAAAATCAATCTTGTAATAAATATATGTTATGAGCTGCAGGTGTCCAAAACAATGCTAACTGTAAACAATTCTTGTCCTTCTAGTTCCCGATGAAGCTACAATGGCAAACATTGGCTGAAATAAAAAGTTTTTTACTATTATCTGGAGGGTAGAAGTCTTTTTCTAACTTTATTGCCAAATTGTCGAAATCCCTCCAGTATGCACTACAAGTTCTGAAAAACAATACTGACTTTGATAAAAAAAAATAAAACCTATAAAGTCTGGAGCACATGCATGTTGTTAGTGTCTGGAACAAGCAATGGTACCAAGGCATGAAAATTTACCGTGGAAGGGTTTAATTGGGATTCATATTGTTCTATATGTTTAGAAATAATTAGTTACTGGCTGATGCCATAACCAGACTACTGTAGACTTCAGTTGTGTTGAATTCAGAAAAACTGAAAAAAGAAAGCTGTTTACAGAAATTAATAGACCAATCAGATAAAAACACAGATATCTAATATTTCTTTTGATACTGTTGGATGTGTTTTTATTAATTTCTGAAAGAAAAAAAATAGATGGAAGGAATGGGGTGGGGATTTCAATCCCCTTGAACCCCTTCTCTAAATCCATGCCTACTTATACAGCATTGAGCAATAGTTATTAATTTCTGAAAAAAATGGATGGATGGGGTGGGAGTTTCAACTCCTTGCATCCCTCCCCTAAATCCATACCTGCTTATACATGAAATAATATTGTTATTTATTTCTTAAAGAAATAAATTATGGTCCTTTACTAGATCTGAGCTTGCTTATACAACATTAAAGAATACAGGTATTAATGTCTGAAAAAAAGTTGGCACACAGGATCACACACGAAAAAGTGCAATGAATTTGGAAAGACCCAGAACTTAAGTGATTTTGATTATTAGACAAGTAATAAAGAAGTTTAGAGACAGGTTTGATATTAAGACAGAATTATTTATGTGCTACAAAATGTACCTAGTGGAATGGTTTTGTAATGATCACTGTGTTCTGAGTTTGGATTCTTTAGATAAATGCACATACTTTAGGCATAAACTACATGTTTAGCTTTCTCGTATAGGGTTAAGATAAATTTGTTGGGCTCGATGGGCATCTTTTATTTTGATTGTTAAATATTGTTATTAAAATTTTTTTTTCAGATCTGAGTTAGTATGTCGTATGAAATTTTGTAATACTTTGCCTGATATTCCCTTTGATCCAAAGTTCATCACATACCCTTTTGAGTCAAATAGGTAAGCATTTATTAAATATTTTCTAAGATTAAAATGCATAGATCATATACAGTGTATGTGTGTACATTAATTAGATAGTAATTCTTTGTTAATCATGACATGTATGTGTAGTTTTGAAAACTACACAAGCCATATAGTTGATAAAACGTGCAAATAACTAAAAATAAAAGTTAATTTTTGATGTAAAATTGCTGATATCATACAATTATCTTCAAAAAATACAGTAATTAGTAATAGTTTGATATACATTTAAAGTTTTTAAAACAGGACTAACTAAAGTAGATGTATGACATATCTCAGTCCCATTCTAATTTACTGTATATATATATATATATAGACCATGTACGTGTACTTTAATATATGTTTTCTTGTGTTCCCTTTCCATATGAAGGTTATAAGTTTGTATGCACTAGATGAAATTTAAGTTATGGATAATTTACTATATAAACATGAAATATGATCTATATGCAGAAGATTATTATAATATACGTGTAGAAACAAAAAACATTTAAACACCTGTAATTATAAATCATTTTGACAGCTT